TGAGAGATGGGCACTCGGGAAACAGTCGTCAGAGCAGCTCTGAGAACGAGCTGAAGTATTCGGACCCTCGGCCCTGGAGCAGCACAGATTCAGACAGCTCCCACAGGAACCTGAAGCCCGCCATGACCAAAGCCAGCAGCTTCAGCGGCATCAGCCTGCTGATCCGAGGAGACAGTACAGCCAGCAGCAAGAGCACCGGGAAACTGTCTAAAACCAGTAAATAACCCTCCCTCCTTCACCAGGTCACTTTGCAGAGATGCACGATATAGAGATTTTGACCGGCACCAACAATGGATGTTTTTTGTATTATATATCTATCCTGTTTTTTGCGTCATCATGAAATCAAAATGAAGCCAGTTCACTTCCTTAATCATTCAAGTTATTCCAAAATCTTCATAATCTTTCATCAAAATATAACAATTGTTCCTTCCTCTGAAACGACTTTCCATTTCTGCTGACATCATCAATGCCATATTTTTAAGCCCCTCCCCTTCGACTTCCTGTCAGATTGAAATGTTGAGGTTTTTTATGTACAAAATTAATTTCAGCAAATTTTAATTAAATTAAATAACATTATAGTACTCTTTAGTTATTCCAAAGAAAAAGATGTTTGTCTTTACAATTTTTCATCAAAATATAATAATTGTTCCTGCCTCTGAAGCTCAAATGCACATTTACATTTTGGTGTTTGTGAGTTTATTTAAAGTAAATTGAGTTAAACCAGCTGTAACAAAGCTACATTTATAGCTAAAAACATGAATAATTAATACTTTTGAAGTCTGGGACAGAAAAAGAGGGTTTAGTTTCATTTAAAACTTGTAATTAGTTGGTTATAATTATTTTAGTTTGATTTAAAAAAAAAAAAAAAAAAAATTTAAAATTTTCTGTTTAAGCCTTGAGTGCATCGTAAGAAGACAGATTTATGCGGTCACCTGCAGGACAATCGGCAGATTACACCTTTAACTTTATTCAAGTGCAATGTGATTATAATATAATGATTTGATTGTACTTTATTGTACACTTTGTTACTCTTTTTTTAATTATTAATTTATAAATGAAATAATTTAAAAAATAGAAATACACACCCAAATTAAATGACTGATCTAAATAAATAAATAAAAGAAGTAATGTAGGAAATATGCTTCAAAGACTGGGAAAAAAAATCTGTCAATTACTTTGACGTGATTCAGCATGGATAGCGACTCCTAAGTAGCACTTAAAGTACGGCTATGTGCGATTGTGTTAAGTGCATTTTTGGGAAACGCACGTGAAACAATAGCGAACGATCGTAAATTGACTCGTAGAAAACGCTCTTAAGCGCCAAGATCAATCGTTATCGAGAAACGCAGCCCAGACCAGTACAAATGGTTTAAAGTTAAAATTTCTAATAAAAAATTTTAATATTCGTCAATGCGGATTATAGTCGCCGATATATCGTGCATCGCTACTTGTCTGTGGTTTTTAAATAAAGCTAATATAATTGTTACAGACTACAGTTCATGTTGGAATTACTGTCAGTGTTTATAAAGTTTCCTACCTCTGAATTTCTGAAGTAATCAAGACATTTTTATTGTATTTTTTTAGATCTTTTCTAGTTTGTCTTAAGTATCCAAATACCACCAAGTGTATTTTCACTTTCACCATCCCAATCCTGCTTTGCTATGCTCATCGTTTTTTTTTTTTCTTTTGAAGACCTTTTTTGTTTGCATCATTTCCTGTTCATGCTTCAAGCTGTACATTGAGAATGTGCATGTGTGCAGCGGAAAGCATCTCTTTGCCCTCTTTTCACTCATTTCATGTCCATCGAGAAACAGCTAAGAGAACACATTGATATTCAGAGCCGTCTGCTCTCAGGGTTCATTGGTTATTTATGCTCTGGCATTTAGAAGCTCAAGGAGTCGACGCCAATATATATTTATCACTTTTAATATTTAATGATGCTCCTTTTCCGTTAGCAACCGCTGGATCTTTCCTCCTGCCCAGTTACATTTGAACAGCCCTTCAAATGATTGCAAATGGTGTTGTTTTCTGGTGGTTTCATCAGTATTTTATTTGTATTTATTTATTTGGTTGCTTCAAGATATAAACATCAGATAATATTGTGTATTTATTATTTTAATTTAAATTGTATTATTTAATAAAAAATTTTTTTGTTTAATTTAGTAACAG